TTTGGAATTATGGATGAGGATGATAGGGTACAAATGAAGCAAAATATGAAAAACTTGTTAGATAACCAACACAGCCTAAACGATCTAGGCAAAAAGCAATTTTCTATCGTGGATTCGACGGCTAATATCCTTAAAAAGACAAATGAGGAAGTTAATAATAATTTTCAATATATGAATGAGCATATAGAGAATATGACGGCTGCACTGCAAGAAAGTTTTTACGTTTATAAGGAGTCTATAAATTTCTTTATGGTCACAAAGCAGTTGACTAGACTAGAAGATTGTGAAAAGACACAAGCAGGTATAATTAGTTTGTTAATTGATATAAATCATGGACGGCTGAACACGAATATTCTCAAGCCGAGCCAACTGAAAAGCGAGATATCAAAAATCAAGGAAAGTCTATCTGAGACACTAGTATTACCAGGTAAAAGAACTGAAACAGAGTTAAAAGAGGTATATAAGCTTTTAACAGCTAGGGGCTTGTTTGTAGACAAAAAATTGATAATAAATGCTAGGGTACCATTATTTAGCAGACACCCATCGAAATTATATAAAGTAATACCAGTGCCAGTTTGGTCAGAGGAGAGTTTAAATTCAGAGTATTTAGTGTACAATTTGAGGTTGATTCATACCATTTAATGACGGAAACCACTCTGAACAAGTGTCAAAAGTGGCAGGCTCAAAGAAGAGTTTGTGAAGGAAATTGGCCATGGAGTAATGTCAATGATTTGGCATGTGAATTGAGACCGCTAAAACCAGGTAGACCAGCTAATTGCGTATAATTTAACTAAGTTAACCGGGCGACGGCAGTGACCGATCGTCCGAAAGTTCGCTCCGGCCAAATTGCTGACACAGCGTCTGGCCGGAATCCCGTGCATAGCCGGCAAGCACTACCCATTGGAGCGGCCGCTATGTCGCACCCGCCCAAACTGTAGCTCCTCAAATTAACGTTTATACACCCATAGATATTAACAACATCGTCGTTTGTAATGAACCACTAGACGGCACTAGGCTTGTTTTAAAGAAGATAACAGTCTATCCGATCCAGCTACCACCATCTAAAGACCAAAGTCCACGCCAAAACAGGAATTAACGATGACTTGGAACCATTGGGTCAGCAGCATTAGCATTAGCACAAGAAGCTGAATCAAGTAACGAAAGAAGCGTTTTTGCGCCACTTTCGCCCGACACAATGAGGAGAAAGCATACAGGCCGAACAACCAGCGACAAGAAGGTTGAAAAAATTCCCAGACCCATTCTGAAATTCAGGAGCAATTAAGAAAACTCCTCACTTGTTAGGACTCAAAAGGAGCCAACAACCAGAATGGTTCCTTTAGACGAAGACCACACATAAGCACAGGAACTCATCAGGGTTAACCAGCACCAGAGACAATAGAGATCGACCCATCCTTCAGGATGATATTTAGACAGCCCACAACATGGCAAAAAGGGCAGTCAGCAAGGCAACAAAAATGAACCTCATGCCAGAAGAAAAATTTGACGACGAAGATTACGACGCCGTTGCGCAGACTTGTGCTACTGAAGTAGAAGACGATCTTGAGGAAGAAGACTCATGTAATTTTTAGAATAAAATCCCTGCTCCCCTACATTACACACAGACTGGAAGAAATTGTGGCAACGGAGAAACCCTTTACTGTAAAGTCAATCCATGGCTTTACCAAAATGAATAAAAAATGTTTAGTTTCGGTGTTTAACATAAAAACACCCTTTTTTATCTTAAATAACCTTAACACTTCGATGATATTATCGGCCTCGACTTGCTTGAATAGGTCAGAAAATGTCAACTTTATTAAAATTTATGATGAAGATGTTCCCGTGGCAGTTAAAGCCACCTTCGATAAAATGATTGTCAAAAATTATAAAGATCCAGACAAAGCACTTCCATTCAATATTAATACTCTAGCCACAATAAAAACTGATGGCGAACCGGTGTACTCCAAGGCGTACCCATACCAAATGGGTGTAACCAAATTCGTCAATGCAGAGGTAAATCGTGATAAGGCCATCCAGGTCCCCATATAACAACCCTACCTGGGTTGTGGGTATGAAAGGTATAGACCAAAATGGGGTTAAGAAGAAGCGATTAGTTATCGACTACAGGAAATTAAATCAAAAAACATTAGATGATAGATATCCTATCCCAAAAATTTCGAGAATACCGTCGAATATGGGCAAGTCACGGTATTTCACTGCTCTCGACCTCAAGTCAGGCAGAAGAGGACAGGGAAAAAACGCTTTTTCTATAAATAATGGCCAATACGAATTTTGTAGAATGCTATTTTGGACTTAAAAACGCCCCAAGCATCTTCCAAAGGGCTATCGATGACGTCCTAAGACAGGGAAACCAAGCACCTAGAGGAAGGTATGACAGTATCCCGAGAGAAATCGAAGTTCTTCAAAAAGAGCGTCGAGTACTTGGGCTTCATAGTGTCACAAGGGGGACTGCAAACTTCACCTGAAAAGGTAAAGTCTATTAAAGAATTTCCCCCACCAAAAACACTTTTGACCTTAGATCTTTTCTAGGGCTAGCAAGCTACTAAAGGTGATTCATAAAAAATTTCGCGACTATCGCAAGACCTCTAACAAGCATCCTAAAGGGAGAAAATATAGGCTTCGGACTAGGTGCAGTACTATCTCAAGATGGCCGCCCAATCACAATGATATCACGCGCCCTACGTGACAACGAAAAATTACGCAACCAATAAGCGAGAGCTCCTTGTCACTTAAAAACTTTACCGATCATCAACCACTTACCTTTGCCGTCTCAGAAAAAAATTTAAAAACCAGACAAAGAAAAATTCGTGGCACACTCATTATCTCGCCAAAAAATTAAAACCTTAGAAGACGTACAAGAATCGGACGTAGCGACCATTCATAGCGAAGAGTCCCTGACATACACCATCGAGACCACCGACAACCCAGTAAACTGCTTCCGAAACCAAATAATAATCGAAGACGGTACATTCATCTTGTTTAAGAGCAAGGTGAGGCACATAAACAGAACCCCGACCGGGAAAATCTGATTAAAGCGGAGGTAGTAAACGCAATACACACGCAATAGCACCGACTAGTAAAGCCCTTCCCTAGCACTTCTTTCAAACAGACGAAAAACAGGGCAAAACGGACTCAACCGAACAGAAAGAAACTGTCATAACAGAACACATAAGGGCTCACCAAGCAGCACAAGAAAATGTAAAACAAATTCTTAGGGACTATTTATTCCCAAAAATGTTTCGGTTAGCAACAGAAATAACATCAAATTGAAAAACCTGTTCCACCACCCATCAAAGTAAATGGTTGCAGAAACTCTTATACCCTCATTCGTGGCAGAATTCTACACATTGATATTTTCTCAACCAATGGAGCCCTTTTCCTTACTTCTCGAAATTCGACTTAGTGCAAAACATCGCTTCAAGGGCCATAGTAGACATAAAAACACCTTTTTAACACATAATAAATTTCTTTCCGAAAACAACAACAATCTACTGCGATAATAAAAGATCGTTAAATTCCGAGACTATTAAAACAACTTTGTTAAATCATTTCATTATCAACACTTCCAGCGCTCTACCTCTACACAGCACAACAAATGGTCAAGTATAGAGGTTTCATAGCACTCTAGCCGAAATAGCCAGATGCCTGAAACTTGGATGCAAATTGAACGATACTATAGAAATAATCCATTTAACATTTAACAAATCAATTCACTCAGTAACTAACAAAAAACCCACAGAAATAATTCACACAAAGCCCATGGAATTCGATAGAGAACTTATTAGGAAAATTCAACCGGTACAGGAGAAGATGATTGACCAGGTAAACAAGAATAGGACCTATAAGGACTATCAGGTTTGCGAAAAGGTTTTTCTAAAAGCAAATAAAAGACTAGGTAACAAGCTCTCACCACTATGTTCGCAGGAAACAACGGTCTTAATTAGAGGGAGGGTGGTCCACACAAACAATCTACGCTAACCATCCTTGGCTAGACTCCCGCCCCTTTTTTATACTTTTTCTTATATTTTATATTCTTCTATATTAAATACATTATATAAAATACATTATAATATGGGCACTAATGGCTGTAAAGACGGACGCGGTGAAACTGAATGACTACACGAACGCGGACTATACCCCAAAGAGGACAGTGACATTGTAGTCTGGGAGTCTTTCGAATACCTTTCGGATACCATGCAACGAACATGACGACCGAGGACTTTGCTGACCAGACGAAAGCGCTAACGAGAACATTTACCGATGACCACAGACTACCGGTTATAGCGGCTGACATCAGACACATTCGCAATTTGGTAGCCACCCTAAAAATCCCTCATAGGGCCGCTAGGAATATAAACTTTATTAGAACAAACCTTAAAAGTTGTTGCAGGTACACCCGGCTTTAATGATTGGGAGCAAGTGAAATTCAAACAAGACCAACTAATAAAAACAAATGAAGACCATACGGAATTAAATATCACATTCCAAAACTAAAGAACAATATAAAATTTTCGAGACAAATAAAGAACACATTAAACAAAAGAAATCGCTGTAGTCGATTGCCGCGACTGTAAGATACCCGATACTGTTTTACACAATTTTACAATATTTATTTTGCTAGTGGAAATTGTGAGAGAATGCATGTTAAGTTACTGATAGTGACGTCCTTGCCCATGTGAGGCCTTATAACCTAAATTTCTTTATAAATAGCGAAATAATTTTCTTGTTCAAACATGAACACGTTTTATAGATATATTTAGGTAAACCGTATTATACAATTAGGTCATAAAACTGTAACCCAAGTATGGGATGTCCCAAGAAGGGTCGAATATACAATTAGGTCATAAAACTGTAACCCAAATATGGGATGTCCCAAGAAGGGTCGAATATACTAGGCACCCAAGCGATAACATATGTGCAAAAAACCCAAAGATAAGCAGGTATGTCTGCGTGGGTCATTAGATAAGAGTAAAATAAGATTCTCATGTTAGCTACGTAAGAGTTGAATATTAATAAAGAAGTCAGTTTTGAAATAATAACTCAACAAATCAAGACGTCCTTATTTGGCGTCGCTCTATTCATTTTGGTCCTTCGAGCCGGATCTCTAAAAGTCATCCCCCACCAGTGGTAAGAGACTAAGAGATATAAACCAGCTCCTTAAATCTAAGGTTGCGAAATAAAATCTCTTGATACCCCCCACCCCCGTGGTAAGGAACAGAGAATAATAAATAATTAAAATAAACATAAATATTCAGAAGAATTTTTATTGTTTTAATTTAAAAACACCTTTGTTAGGCTTAAAATATAGCCAAAGGTTGTTCTCAAAAATACCCATTTAAAAAAAAAAAAAGTGCGGTAAGGCGTGCTTGAGGCCTAAACATCAGCAATACGGTCATCGGTATATAGTGCGGTAAACAAAGTGGTAATCGACAAAATCCGGTAGTATTGACGCAAAAATATAGAATTTTCGTGCGATATATAAAAAATATAAAAATTTACGGCGAGTACATCAGCGGCGACTACGGCAGCGGAAAATACTACAGCGGCATCTACAACTACAGCATCGGCAGCATCTAGAACTACAGCATCGGCAACCGCAACTACAGCTCAAACGAATACTTATGTTCCTTGTGCAATAAATTGCATCATACGATGCTTCATATAAATATACAAAAACGGGAAAAAGTCAACACTTGTGTGACTGCCACTCAGGCATTACTTGCAACAGCACGAATTCAAGTGAAATCTGCCAACGGCAATTTTGTAAATTTAAGAGCTCTCATTGATAGTGGATCGCAAAGCACTATCATATCAGAGGAGGCAGCACAAATACTAAAACTGCCAAAAATCAAAACTAAGACGGAAATTAGTGGGATATCTTCTACGGATACTTGTGTATAACCTCCTAACTCGAAGAAGTCGTTTGTGACTGAGGCAATAATATTGCCCAAATTAATTACAGAAGTTAATATAGATAAGACTAAATGGCAAAATTATTCATTAGCTGACCCGGACTTTAATAAGCCTGGCAGAGAGTTTATGTAATCATTGGAGCCGATCTATATACACAAATTTTAAAGAAGGGTATAGCAAAAATTAATGGTCTGTTAGGCCAGAATACAAATTTCGGTTGGATCATTTCTGGATGCACTAAGTCAAAGGGTACTCATTCGATAGTGGCAACTACTATCGAAGTGCAAGACTTATAACGTTTTTGGGACCTAGAAAATGAAGATAAAAATGATGTACAGACCGAAGTTTGTGAAAACAATTTTATGAAAACAACCTCTATTTCAAATGGTAGGTATATTGTTCGAATTCCATTTAAGGACGAAACATCCTTAGGGGAATCAAAGCCGCAAGCAATGGCTCGATTGATAAACATGGAGAAGAAGTTTCCGCGAAATGAAAAACTTCGAGATGCCTATAAATTGTTTATGAAAGAATATATTGATCTTGGGCATATGGTTGAGTCGAAGAGGGAGGGAAAATACTACCTACCCCATCAAGCCGTACTTAGAGATTCCAGTCTAACTACAAAGTTAAGAGTAGTGTTTGGCAAAAACGACTAACAATAAAAGCTTAAGTGATATCATGTGGGTTGGGCCTAGAGTCCAGAAAGAAATCTTTGATATAATGTTGAATTGGCGTAAATGGGAAAACGTCATATCTGGGGACATAGAAAAAATGTACAGACAAATATTCATTGATGAAAAATATCAAGAATACCAATATATATTATGGAGAGACTCTCCTGAAGACAAAATAAAATCGTACAAATTAAAAACAGTAACCTATGGGACTGCCTCAGCTCCATATTTAGCTACTAGAGTTCCAGTAGATATAGCAGATAATTGTAAGAATGATGAAATTGGAAGAATAATTAGAAATGATTTCTACATGGATGATCTCATGACAGGAGCAAATTCAGTGGAAAGTGCCATAAACATTATAGAGCAAATTTCTAGCGAATTAAAAAAAGGTAATATGAATTTACGGAAGTGGATTTCGAATAATAAAGAAATAATAAAGTAGTGGAAGATACTGGCGACAACAAGGTAATAAGTATCAAAGAAAATGAGTTCGTGAAAACATTGGGGCTTCAATGGGAACCACAAAAGGATGAGTTTAAGTTCAACGTTAATTTAGGAAATGCTAAAAAAGAAAATAAACGAACAGTACTTTCCACCATATCGAAAATTTATGATCCGTTAGGATGGTTAGCTCCAGTAACCATCACAGGAAAGCTGTTTGTGCAGAAACTTTGGCTGGCTGAAAATAGCTGGAATCAAGAGTTATCAAAAGACAGTGCCCAGGAGTGGGCGGGATATAAAGAAAAACTTTTACTGTTGAAAAAAATCAGAATACCTAGATGGATCCAAAGTAAATTAAATGCGATGATTGAGCTGCATGGGTTTGCAGACGCGTCTGAAAAAGCATATGCGGCAGTATATGCTAAAGTAGGAAGATTGGTTACAATAGTAGCTAGTAAAAGCAGGGTAAATCCAATCAAAAATAAGAAAACAATTCCGAAACTAAAACTGTGCGCAGCTCATCTGTTGAGTAAACTAATACAAAAGGTCAAAGAATTGATTGATAATGCAGCCAAGATATACGCGTGGAGTGATTCTACTATAACGTTGGCTTGGATTAAAAGTGGTCAAAGCAAAGTAAAATTGATTAAACATAGGACAGATTATATTCGTAGATATACAGAAGTAGAGTGGAATCATGTTAAATCAGAAGATAATCCAGCGGACGCAGCGTCAGGGGGAATTTCGCCAAGTGAACTGATAAATTTTGATCTTTGGTGGAATGGGCCAAATTGGTTAAAAGAATTAAAAGAAAATTGGCCGTCTCAGTCAAAAGCTGAGGAAGAAAAAGGTGTCCATACCGTGCTGACAGCTGATAGGGATATTATTCATAATCTCTTAGAAAAATATTCCTGCATACAAAAATTAAAAAGAGTTATATGCTACATAGTTCGATTTATAAATATGAAAACAAAGAAAATATCTTATCCGGGTTATTTATCGGTAAAGGAAATTAGATATGCAGAACATATCTATATATATAAAAGAAAGTCGTGTTAGTTACACCACTTATAACTCAAGAACGGCAGAACAGATTTGGCTGAAAATTGGTAGGGAGGTAGCTTAGAGCCAGGAGACGGACATAGGATACTTTTTATCCCGTTCGACAGCGTTCCTCTGTGACTTGGCATGAAACGTCAGTCACTATAAAACTTGGTATAATAAAAAAGAATCCGACTTGGAATAACAAAACGCAAATGACAGCTATGTAATTGACGTAAAATGACAGCTATGTAATGACGTATGGATGACAATTTGATATTTGTAAGAAATCAATATTAAAACTATTTCTATTAAATAAATAATTAACAAGTGGATTGAAGTGAAGTGAAGTTTAATTAATAATGCCGCGACCAAGACGATCGAATCTTTCCCGACAAAGCCGTAATGCAAGAAGAATACAAAATACTGCAAATGAAAGGACTGAAGAAGAACAAGAAAGTGCACGTGAACAGCGCCGCAATAGTATGGCTCGACTTCGTGCTTCTCAATCACGAGAGCAAAGTGAAGCAGCCCGTGAAACAGCTCGGTTGGCAATGCAGAATCGTCGAGCGAACAACAGAAGTCAACAAATAGATAATTTGCGACGCAGAACAAGATATTTAGCTGATTTGAATCGAGCTGCGTTTCGATACGATTGCAGCAATGATTACAGCTTGCATCCTAGCGTTTGCATTGGGCAAATGGACGTTGTTTGCGAGTATTGTGGTGCATTAAAGTTTTCCGGAGAAATGCCTGGATTATGCTGCGTTAATGGTAAAGTGAAATTGCCAGTGCTGACTCCGCCACATGAGCCATTGTATTCATTGCTTTGCGGCGAAACACAAGAATCACGCCACTTTCTTGCAAATACTCGAAAATACAATAGTTGTTTCCAAATGACGTCATTTGGGGCAGACATTATCGAAGAAGGAGGTTTTAATCCGACATTTAAGGTATTTATTTTTGTACTTACATAGAATGTAGTTAAAGAATAACTTAGTTTATCTATTGGTATGTATTATACTACTCTCCTACAGAAAAAGTGTTTATAACCCAGTTAATACTGTCTGGTTTTTATTTTGTAGATACAAGGACAGATTCACCATCGAATTGGATCATTACTACCTTTCGAAGATACACAGAATAAATTTTTACAAATATGTTTCATGGGCAACATAGAAGAACAACTTGATCGACGCCTAGGGATCAATGCAGGAATGAAGCGAGCAATTCTTCAAGACTTGCAGTGTCTGCTTCATGAACATCATGCGTTGGTCAGGTTGTTTAAGAGTGCTTTAGAGCGCATGCCAAATGATGACTATAAAGTTGTCATCAAACATTTAATGCTCCAACAGTAGACGAAGTTGCCATCCTGATTGTTGGTGAACAATTGGAAAAACGCGATATTGTGCTTACACGTCGCGATACTGGGCAACTGCAACAAATATCGGAAACTCATTGATCATTTGACGCATTGCAATACCCACTGATATTTTGGCAAGGAGAAGATGGATATTATTTTAATATTAAAATGATAAATCCATTGAATGGTAAAGTATCAGTATCTTAATAATGGTTAATGTCTGTATTATTTGCCTTTGAAATGGTTAATTATCAAATTTTTAATTTCAGGTGAAGAAACTACAAAGAAAGTTAGCTCAATGAATTATTATGCATATCGTTTGATGATTCGTCAAAATGCTGACAACTATTTGCTGCGGTTTCGTCGATTGTTTCAGCAGTATTGCGTTGACATGTATGTAAAAATAGAAACGGAACGTTTAACATTTATTAGGTTGAACCAAGCCAAACTGCGTTCTGAGGAGTACATCCATTTACGTGATGCAGTTAGTACTGAAGGAAGTGCAGCTAATATTGGTCGATTAACTATTCTGCCGGCGAGGTACATTGGTAGCCCACGTCATATGCATGAATATGCACAAGATACAATGACATATGTTCGTCATTACGGCCGGCCAGATCTCTTTATTACTTTTACCTGTAATTGTATTTTTTCGAATAAAATAAAAAAAAAAACTGCTTATTTATTGCCATTAAGACGGAACAAAGTGCGCCGGGTCAGCTAGTAACTAATAAACTTCAAAAATTCTAAGTTTACATCCACTTATTGATCAGGATAAAATTATCAGAGTAGACGGTAGATTACAAAATTACAATGCTAGATTCGAGATAAAACATCCAATTATTCTCGACAAAGGGCATATTTCTTCATTAATTATAGAGGATGCTCATAACCAAACTTTACATGGTGGAATAAATTTGATGAGAACATACATTCAAGAAAATATTGGATATTTGGATTGAGAAATTCATTAAAGAAAAAATTAAATGAGTGTACGAAATGTACAAGATATCGACAGGTCACGGCACAACAAGTAATGGAAAATCTACCCAAATATAGGGTAACAATGTCGTACCCATTTCTAAATACATGTATTGATTACGCAGGACCCTATTATATAAGATGTTCTAAGAATAGAGGACAGAAAACATACAAAGGGTATATAGCTGTCTTTGTGTGTATGGTAACAAAGGAAATACATTTAGAAGTAGTAAGCGATTTAACTTCTGACGCGTTTCTAGCTGCGCTCAGAAGGTTTATAGCAAGAAGAGGGAAGTGTGCAGCTATTTATTCCGATAATGGAACAAATTTTATAGGCGCAGCAAGAAAATTAGACGAAGAGTTGGCAAAAGCAATTAAAGAACATTCAGCGGTGGCAAATCAACTCGGAAAAGAAGGGATTGAGTGGCATTTTATCCCCCCGGCAGGACCTCACTTTGGAGGTATCTGGGAGGCCGGCGTAAAATCTATGAAATATCACCTAAAACGGGTGATTGGTGACGGAAACTTGACATACGAAGAGATGTTAACACTTTTATGCCAAATAGAAGGAGTGTTGAATTCACGACCTCTATATTTATCAGATAATGATATAGAGGAAAATGAAGTACTTACACCTGGAGACTTTTTGATAGGACGACCACCGTTGGATGTGATTGAGCCTATAAATGAAAATGAAAAAATAGGGAACTTGGATAGGTGGAAATTAATCCAAAAAATTAAAAGAGATTTTTGGATAAAATGGAAAGATGACTACTTGCATACCCTACAACAGAGGTATAAATGGAAAAGGAATAGCCCCAATATAGAAAAGGGACAGGTAGTTCTAATAAAGGATGCAAATTTTCATCCATCAAGATGGCCGTTAGGAAAAGTCAAAGAAGGGTAAAGACGAGAAAGTTCGGGTAGTAAAAGTCAAGATGCAGGACGCATGCATTTCCCGACCGATTACCAAGGTTTGCCCTCTTGTAGGAATCAAGGCTGTCGAAGATAATGAAGAAGAATCTCAACCCAAAAGGATAACTAGGGGTGGATCTAGGATATCCAAGCCGGGATTAATAATGAGTATGCTAATGTTAATGATGTTTTGTCAACTGTCAAATGCATCACTCACCGTTGAAAATACGCCCAAGTATAAAATTGAAAAAAAAAACGTCAGCGATATATTTGGATCCGATGGGCGAAGTAGAAATTGTCTCGTCCTCTTGGAATTTGGTTGTTTTCTATAATATGGATGCTTATTTTGAAATGATAAGCAAAGAAAGCGTTTTAGTGAACAAGATGAGACGGGTGTGTGAAAAACTTTATAGTTTCGATGATCAGTGTAACCTTGTACTAGACAATACTTTAAAACAACTAATTGAATTAGAAGAAAATAATAAATTATTCATGGCGCATATTAAGCGAAGAACAAAACGTGCTCCATTTGAGTTCATGGGGTCCTTATATCACATACTGTTTGGAATTATGGATGAGGATGATAGGGTACGAATGGAGCAAAATATGAAAAACTTGTTAGATAACCAACACAGCCTAAACGATCTAGGCAAAAAGCAATTGTCTATCGTGGATTCGACGGCTAATATCCTTAAAAAGACAAATGAGGAAGTTAATAATAATTTTCAATATATGAATGAGCGTATAGAGAATATGACGGCTGCACTGCAAGAAAGTTATTACGTTTATAAGGAGTCTATAAATTTCTTTATGGTCACAAAGCAGTTGAATAGTTTAATTGAAGATTGTGAAAAGACACAAGCAGGTATAATTAGTTTGTTAATTGATATAAATCATGGACGGCTGAACACGAATATTCTCAAGCCGAGCCAACTGAAAAGCGAGATATCAAAAATCAAGGAAAGTCTATCTGAGACACTAGTATTACCAGGTAAAAGAACTGAAACAGAATTAAAAGAGGTATATAAGCTTTTAACAGCTAGGGGATTGTTTGTAGAAAACAAATTGATAATAAATGCTAGCATACCATTATTTAACAGACACCCATCGAAATTATATAAAGTAATACCAGTGCCAGTTTGGTCAGAGGAGAGTTTAAATTCAGAGTATTTAGTGTACAATTTTGAGGTTGATTCATACCATTTAATGACGGAAACCACTCTGAACAAGTGTCAAAAGTGGCAGGCTCAAAGAAGAGTTTGTGAAGGAAATTGGCCATGGAGTAATGTCAATGATTTGGCATGTGAATTGAGACCGCTAAAACCAGGTAGACCAGCTAATTGCGTATAATTTAACTAAGTTAACCGGGCGACGGCAATGACCGATCGTCCGAAAGTTCGCTCCGGCCAAATTGCTGACACAGCGTCTGGCCGGAAGCCCGTGCATAGTCGGCAAGCACTACCCATTGGAGCGGCCGCTATGAGTCTCTTTTAATGTTAGCTTTAAGTTCAGTTCAATTTTGATATTCACCGAATAGAGAGCACAAGCTCCTTCAAAATAACTCCGGCAACCGCCGTTAACATTTTATCATTTACAAACTGACTGAGTCTCTAGGCCAGCAGGTTAAGAAGGGCAGTCACCCTTCCATCCTAAACTTCGTAATTCACCATTATAGAGAAATTACTAACCGGACTTCTGTACCGAGACAGCGGCGAGGGAACCTCCACTGTGAACTTAAATATTTAGAGGGAAATAACTAACCAGGTTTCTGCACGGAGACAGCAGCGAGGGAACCTAATAGGCGCCCACGTTAAATTACCCATCTAAGTCGGGGAAATCATGTAAGTGAGCACTTCTGTTCCAAAAAATTTTCCGGCATCTGCATTAGTAAAATATTTCAATACGCTATATTTTCTCGAACTCGACACCGCGACGTTTGTATTCCGATTTCGTTAACTTCGTTTTTTTGTCTTTCGGAACGGCACTGTGACAATTTTTGTTGTTTATATTTTTGTGTGCCATAGCGGAGACCCAGTCCCCGCGACCTCCTTCCCCTTGTCTTTGCTTGGCGAGGCAACAGCTCAATTTTTCAACGAGCTCTCGTCCATCGTTTCCAAGCGGCATCTCAGCCCCCGCGGCCCCCCCGCCATAACCAAGGGAAAGACCGCTTGAGCATGCATTAAATCGCTGGGCCGATTTAGCTGGCACAGCTCCATATGAGCAACCCATTCCAGCAATATAGGAACAACAGGCAGGTCTCCAGCGACTCTGAATCCGAAACCGAAGGGCCGGCAAGAACTTCTACACCGAAAAGTGTAAGCGTCAGCACTCCCTCAGCCAGAAACATGACATTTAACCCAGATCAAATAAAGGCGGTAGTAGAGGCTGCCGTCAACCATGCCCTACAGGAAGCGGCCATTGACAGCCCGCGCAGGGAAAATGAGTTGCGCCAGACTATTCAACAGCTGGCCAACCAAGTGGCGGCGATACAGGTCGCACCCGCCCCAACAGTAGCTCCTCAAATTAAAGTTTATAAACGCATAGATATTAACAACACCGTCGTTTGTAATGAACCACTAGACGCCGTCAAATGCCTGCCCGAATTTTCGGGTGCCCAGGAAACATACGTCTCCTGGCGACAGGCAGCGGTAGGCGCATACTATATTTTTAAGAATTTCGTAGGTAGTTCACGCCATTATCAGGCAGTTATTATAATTAGGAGCAAAATAAGGGGCCCGGCCGATGCAGTGCTATCCTCATTTGGCACAGTGCTTAATTTCGACGCAATCATAAATCGACTCGACTTTACTTATAGTGACAAGCAGACAATGCATGTCATAGAGCAGGAGATGGGCACCCTCAGACAGGGGAATCTCTCGCTTTTACAGTATTATGACGAGGTTGAAAGGAAGCTCACCCTCCTCACCAACAAGGCGACCATGTCATATGAAGCCTCGGCTGCACAAGTTTTGTGCGAAAAATTCCGGGATGATGCCCTGCGTATTTATCTCTGAATTAAAACGCAACCTCACTGACGTCCTCTTCGCGGCGAAGCCCAAGGACATGCCATCAGCACTTGCCTTGGCTCAAGAGGTGGAGACGAACCATGATAGGTATACCTTTGCATCATCATTTGCAAGAAGCCAGGAAGATAGGGAGAAAACACAATTTCCTAGTGCGCAAGAGCGTCAGCAGGCCGCCCCTCAGGCTAATTCCCAATATAGTGGCGGTAAAAACCACCATTTTACTAAGCAACACAAGGCACAAGAGCACCCTGCTCCGCGCAGCGATAGGCACCGAGGACATACTCCAGAACCCATGGAAGTAGATCCATCATTGTCTAAGATGCTTAAACCATCACAAGCCCCGGCATACCAGAATAGGAGGCAGGCGGCGTCCGATAGAGCCAACCCACAAAAAAGGCAAAGGGTAAACCACATTGCCCAGAGCGCTGACAGAACTGGTGATACGTACACCACAGCGGCCTCTAGCGCGGCACAAGAAATCGATGACGACGCTATCAACGAGTACGACTCGGATGCCATAAATTTTTTAGGGGAAGATCCCTGCTACCGGTCATCAGACGAAGAGTAGCGGTGATTGACATGAGATTTCTAGTTGATACGGGCGCGGCCAAAAATTTCATCCGACCAT